TCCTCTCTATTTCCTAGGATTATAAGGTATGGTATTTTTAATTGTACTGAATAATATTGTCTTGTCAGTAAGTTTTCTCTGAGTGAGGCTTTGGTTTCAAAAGATCATTTAGAGGAGGAGCTAACTCCTCCTGTACCACATAACCCTTCTCCACTTTGTCACATCATGTGTCACCAGCACTTGGTTTGTAAAAGTTCCAGAACTTGTTGGGTTTCTCCATGTAGTGAGTGAATGATTCAGCTCAGTGATCTGGCAGAAAATTAGCTGGGGAAAAGCTTGGTTAAATTTCTGCTGTGTTATTGATGTGTTAAGTGGTCTCACAGAAAGATGTGTTGAGCTCAGGCAGCCTTTGGAGGCTGTTGGTGCAGCAGGAGAAGAGCTATGGGCAGAGGTGAGAAGAGCAGGGAAGAAGAAGCACAAGGACTCGGATTTTTCTTTCATTTGGCAGCCCAGAGTTGTTAAATGGACTCAGCTACTTTTGAAACTATAATGTGCATTTAACTGAAAGCAATTTTATGTGTACATGGGTGTCATTATTCACATAAGTCACTTGATTATTTATTTTACTTTTTCTTTAACCTTGGCCTCAAGCTATTACAAAGATGGAATAATAGCTGCATTTTCTGTCTTCATTATTTTAGCAATTTTTTTAGAGCATTCAAAACACTTATTGTAATACAGAGGGGATGGTTATGGTGCAGTGTGAAGTGGTGGTATGTGAATTATTATTAAATGAAACACCAGTTCTTGAAAAGTCTACACAGTTTCTATTATTGTGACATGCAACAAAAAGAGGACAATTAAGCCAAGTTTTAGAGATAAATAATGATAATCTGTATTCTTGAGTATGGATTAGACAGTTCACTGCAGATCAAGTACTGTTAGAAATTGTCATTTCAGGCCAAGTGTTCATGTTTGAGTTTCCACTTCACTTTCCATTGTAGTTGACAATGTGAAAATCCCTGATATTTCATTTTCCCACAAAGGAAATACGGTGCATCATTAGGGTGAGCTCAATCCATCTCTCACTCAAGTCAGTAGTGACTTCCTACTGACATCTGTAAGTTTGGGCTTTAGCCCTGTGATGGAACTTTCCTGTGTTTTGCCAAGATCCATCACTCTATTTTCCTAGTTTTTCTATGTAAACCCTAGATAGATGCAGTGATATTTATGCAGCAGTTTTACCAGATGGCTTTTGAATCGTCTGTTCTCAATGAAAAATGAAAAGACTGGGCACATATATAAAGGTTGAATTAATCTTTGTAATTAAATGGAACATTACGTTGCCATGAATGATTTTAGCTTTCACAATGTATTTCATGGTAATTTTTCAGTGACCTGTAATTGTATTAATTTTTTATATATTTAGAAGCTTAAAAATGATCTTCACAAAGTTATTGAGGCAAGTTAATATACAGAAGATGTCTGTCAGACTCATAAAACTTTGTAGTGATATATATGATTTTTTTTGTTTTCTCTTTACAGTAAGTAAAATATGTCAGTAGTTAGTGTTGTAAAAAATATCCAAATCATACTCTGAGAGGTAAAAAGGCTCTCAGAATGCTCACATGCTCGGCTGTCAAGTGAGAATTTGAATAGGCTGGAATCTGGGCTGCTTTGGAGCACTGAAACACGTGTGCATTCCCACGTTGGCAGGTTGTTAGGCAGAGAGTGAAAGCTCGTTTATTATTTTGTCTGTGTAGTAAACTGACTTGCAATGCTCTCCGTGTGAACAGATACACACTGATGGTAAAATCCTGGCTGTGTTGAAGGCGATGGGGAAATCTCCATGCACAAGGAGTGGTGGAAGTAATCCCACTCTGGCTCCTGTGCCTCAGAGCCTGCTGTCTCTGGCTGTTGGGATAGAAAAGTCTTCATGACTTACCCTAAGGCTCCCTCTGAGAGCCTCTTGTGATGGGGAGAGGAGCCCTGCAGTGCTGAGTTCCCTTAATTTACCCAACAGCCCAAGCAGGCTGAGTGCTCAGTGATGCCTGGGGGAGGTACCACCGCCTCTTTTCCTCCTGTACACATGGCTGTTTAATATGCAAATTAGAGAAAGGAGTTAAATGAGCCTTTAAACCATAAAAAGTTGTGCATGGTGGATTTATGGTGGATTCATATGCGATTGCCACATGGCTGGTTCCTGTACATTTGTCACATTTCATTTGACTCCCTGTGCTTGCCTCCTGGAAGGCTGGTGGTCTCTTATACATACTTTTAATCCTACCAAGTGGAAAATAATGACATCATTATCAAAGAGTAAGCAAGCTGTAGAAATGTTTTCCACTTCCTTGTGCTGTATAAATAAGGAGTCTCCCAACTGCTGTTAAACATTACACAAGTGATATTTACTGCAAATTTAGAAACCTGCTCTCAATATGATACTTTCTAATTTGTCAGTTGTATAAATAAATTGGGCTGTGTGCTGGGCTCAGCTGAAAAGTTTTGCATCTGATGCAAAGCTTCTAGGAGGAATCCCAGTCAGAGGGATTCCCAAGGGCTTCAGAAGGGCTCCTGTGCTCTCTCATGAGTTTTGCTTTGGCTATAGGAAACAGTTTCCCTAACCAGCAGCCAAACATCCTTCACTGTCAGCATCAGGTTTGTCTGTCTTATTTGTCAGATTGCTACACCACACATATTGTGGTAATGCCTTTTAAGTAACAAATGCAATAATATAACATTTTCCCCTTATCTATCTATCTATCTATCTATCTATCTATCTATCTATCTATCTATCTATCTCTCTATCTATCTCTCTATCTATCTCACAAAATACAGACAGCCTTAGACATTAACAAAGCATCAAAGGACTAGAAGCAGCATTACCTTTTGAGTTTGCTCTCAAAGATCTCGAGACACACTCTGTTATTTACTAGGGTTTTATATTGCCTTTATAAAAAAATCTCTGTAGTGTCCAACTATTTTATTCTCATGCTTAAAAATCTCAATCTCACAACATCAAATGTGAAAGTCACAAAGCAAGTGATGAACTCATGCAGAACATTTGATATTCACCAGGTTTGTTTAAGTAGCTGACTTAGAAGAAATTAAAACTTATGGGTTTTGCTCTTTCCTTTTCCAAAGCTAATTTAAACTAGCATTGAAACATGGGAAATGGTAAAGGAAAGTTTCTGATTCCTTGCAAAGTTCAGTCCGTTGGACCTGACAACACTACCAGGAAAAATTTAGACCTCTTGATTGCATACAAACTTGCAGAAAAATTGTGCTCCCTTCTTGGTTTTTTATTCTCCCTCCCGACCACAGCATTTAAAATATCATGAAAGACTGCTGAACCTTCTGGCAAAGTGAGAAAACATTCTGTTGAGAGTTAATTTGGCTCATTTCATATTTTCCATTCAGCATTTTTTTTCCATTTCTTTTTTTATTACTTGGGCAATTTGCATGACAATGGGATCTTTCTTGCTTAAGAGATCGTCTACTCCTGCTGCTAATTTCCTACCTGAAGTTGTTATCTTCTGTTTGTGACATCTTGATTATCTCAACCACAATTGTGATGTCACAAATGGAGGATTATGACTTTGGGTTGCAAGTGAGACTGAGAAATTGAAGGAGTTTGAAGAAAAGAGGCCTTTCTTCTCAAAAAAAAAAAAAAAAAAAAAGGAGACAGAATGACTGGTTAAATGGAGGCAATCCTCCATCACCTTTCTTCTTCAAGTTGTGGAACAGCTAGTTTTCCCTCTTGCTGTATAGGAGGCACTGCTGTATTGAGATACTGTGAAGTGGGGGAATGGGAAAGGGTATGTGGAGGAAGGGGAATCTTCCTTTGAGCAGTCAGTCCCTGCAGCAAGAAGGAAATAAAAGCCATTGGACCCATGAGAGGTCCAGACTCTGCTCACAGAGAGCAGAATGCAGGGTTAGTATGGTTGTACTTAGTTTAAAGGCCAATTATTTATTGCTTTTCATATCTTGCAATATTCATTTATTAACATCAGAATTTGATGACCACGGAGGAGCATTTTTTGAGGGGGGGAGGCAATTCCAAAGACTTACGGAGAAGTTACACTCAGCATCCTGAAAACATAAAAAATGGAAGTTGTGTACTATCCTAGTCCATCATAGCTATAATTTATCCCATGGACATGTTGCATTTAACTTCTTGGTATGTCATCTTATATTTTTGTATACTTGTGCTTTTCCTCTGGAAACCTGTTTCCACGGAGATTCTGGGTGACTGAGTGCCCTGCTGGTGTTTCTGTGAGGACATTACCAGGCTGTTTATACCATGATTTACAGAGTGGGAATACTCATCCACAGCTACTTCACACTGGACTCTTTACACAGGTTGTGCATAAACACTGGGACCAAGTCACGACTGAAAGAGGATTAATGAAAAGTGTCTTATTTTAACACCTCTACTGACAAAAGAGGAAAGGCAAAGACTGCAAAGTAAAGGAGGGAAACGAGAACTGAACACAGATCAGTCCTATGGTTTTCAGAAAGTACAGTGCCCTTCAGAATAGGACCCATCCTCAGGTGCAAATAGAAGTGACCCTGAGTGGAAACACCAGTCTGCACTTGCTGGGACCAGGGTTGATTCACATCTGTGCTCCAAATCGATTTCAGCAGTTGGATATGTACCAGCTACCGTGCCATAGCAAAACAGCCTGTTTCCTGTTGTCCTTTGCAAAACATTGTACAAACAGGCATTTGACCATCTGATTAACACAAACCCTGTAGGGAAAATCAGCTGTTAGGATTTTGCACTCAGACACATTGCTGTAAATACGCAAAAGCTCTGCAGGCAGCCACAGACCCACTGTGATAATCTGACAACAGAATCTGGACCCTCTGCCTTGTGATGCCGAGCTCATCTGTGGCACCAAGTTTACCTTGTAGGCAAGTTGTTTTGAAGTTAAATTAGGATGGCTCCAGGGAAGCATAGTAATACAAAGTGGAAACTGAGCAAGAAAGATAAAAAGCTGTGTGCTGAGAAGTGGTTTTGTCTGTCAAAACTTTTTTTCTCTTTTTCTTTTTCAAAGGCAAAAGCAGTTATGGCGAAAGTTGGTTACCCTCAGTTTATAATGAATGACACATATATTAATGAAGACATCAAAACAGTAAGTGTCAGGCTTGCAGCTTTATTCATTTATGCAGCCATTCTTTGCTCTGTTTTGCTGCTGTCTAAAGTCCAAGCGAGTCTTTTGTTTGGCATGCACCTGGACTCGTGCTTGCCTGGTTATTTTTATTTTATTTTTGAAGTGTGCCAGCTCTAAATTGTGTCTAAAAAGTCAATGCTGTTGTATCTAAGCGAGATTATGAGGCCTGCTGGGAGTTAAATCTGTCTGGGTGCAAAGAACCTTCCTGCTATTAAGCATTTTAAAGGTTAAGCACACAATATAATAATTTTGCATTTAGTTATAAAAATGGAACAAACCAAAAGCATTTCTTCTCAAAATAATGATTTTCAAAAAGACTAGTGCATTTTACCTCAGAATATCACAATTTAGGATGCCCTGTATAAATTCTCCTCATCTCTCCAGGCTATGATTTTAATTTACAATTGATGCCTACAATCATGCCAAGAGGTCCTAACCAATGTATAGGCCTATTGTGCTGCCTTCTGGACAAGGATACTGTGGGGGACTCCTTCCTACCCTAGTACCTGTTCAGCCTAACTAAGGCAGGACGGAAATCATTAATAATAATAATAATAATATATTTTACTATTTTCCAACTGTGGCATGCATTTGATTAATTGTATTGCTGAAAGTCACAGGCAGACTAGAAACACAAGTTCAAAGACATTAAAATACAAGAGTGTTCATCATCTTTGCCAGAGCACACGAACAAACTCTAGATAGAGGCATCATTTATTGAGAGAACCAACTCTACCAGCCTAGTCCTTGTCCAGAGAAATTGCAGGGTGAGGTGGTGAAATGAAAACAGTGCAATGAGACAGAGCATGTGACCAACTCTATCACTCAGTGCATGGAATTATTTGCTCAGATAAGTGGCAATGTCTGGTGAAAAATACTTGTTAATCATGCTTGCAAAAGCATAGTTTACATCTGAAGAGCAACATCCTCACAAATCCTAGAATTGTTTTAAACTGATAACAGGGATTTATAACCTATTAACATCCTTTTCCTCGCCTGTTTAGTTTTGTGTGTGTGAATGCTATTAGATTTGGAAACTTATGGAATCATGGAGCCCTATGGCTGTAAATGTTTAATGTGGCAGAACTCTCAGTAGGCACAGAATATGAAGGATTTGTTATAAAATGTAAAGCAAACCGAAAAAGGGGACTTCATTACATTATTGGAAGTGGTTTTAAAATGCATTTTTAAAAATAAAAGTAAGCCTACTTCCTCCTGGAAAAGAGGCTCTTAATAATAGCCATAGAAATGTGCAGTCTGCAATCTATTGTTGGGTGCTTATGATTCCTTCAGCAGCACTCTGCACAGTGAAGAGCTTTCCCAGTGTTCCAGACCCTTGTGCAGATCTGTTCAGCCACTGTTTTTTAACTAAGCTCATAAAATATTTATTCTTCCTACCAAGTGTAGAAATTGTACTTGCTTTGATAATCGCCAAAAAATTAGGTGATTATCTCATATAAAATAAAAGTTCTGCTTGTTTTATGTCTGCTTTTGTTTCTTTGGACATGCTTTAAAAATGTCTGTGCTTTTTCAATACAGCTGAAGTTTACAGAAAATGATTTTTTTGGCAATGTATTGCAAACTCGCAAATACGCAGCCCAATCTGATTTCTACTGGCTTAGAAAAGAAGTTCCAAAAACAGAGTGAGTAGACAAAAGGCAAATTTACATAATCTTCTAACAATACTTTAACTTATATTATTTTATTTTTATATTAAATACTGTTATATATTAAGTTTTAATAGAATTATGTTAACAGCATTATGTTATGACACAGAAAGCCGATGGGCAAATTCCCATTATTCAGAAACTCCTGTGGATTTTTTTTGGTAAGTTCTAGGTATCTCTGTTCATATGCAGAGTAGTCACATGCTTGAAGCTTAAAGTTAATTTAATGAAAAAAGGGGTAATTGAATAGCAACTAAAAATGGATTACGTCTCTTGGTCACAGTTAGAGTTTGAAATGGTACAACAGGGATTTATAAAATAAATTTTGTAGGAATGAAATCATAGTAAGAGAATGTTATTATTAGTAATATAAATCAGCATTGTTAGTTACCTGCTGCTGATAGCAATGATACAGAATGAAACTTAATTTAATCTACATATGTTATTTTTATTTATTTGTAAACATGAGAGTGCAGATTGTGTCACAAACTGTCATAAAATACATAAGAGAATCATTCTCTTTTTTTACTGGTGGGTAATCAAATCCTTAAAATGCAAATTAAAACCTAAGCAGAACTTAATTAGTCTAATCATGCTACTTAAATATGACTCCTTCTACACACAGACTTTGAAATCAGTGCCAGTGCTTAGCTCCTGTGGTGGTATTTCCTTAGGACTCCAGAAATCCTACTCAAACTGAACCACACCTTGTTCTGAGGGTGGCTCTGTGCTGTCTGTGAGGCAGGGGGACAAATGAAGGCTGTTCATGGTTGGAGTGTTTTTATTTGGCCCTATGTGTTCAAGGTGTTATTTATAAGCTTATACTTAATTGTGAATTTTACCTTCTCATCACAGCTTTCTCTGGCATTGCACTGATCAACCCCAGGGGATGATTTTAGGGATTTTCCTGGATGCCAGGACTAGACCATGATGGTGCATTCTCTTCAGAGTAACAGTTCCAAGAGAGCAGTGGCCTCTCCATAGCAATGGTCAACCTTGGGGCAGCCCTGATGCTGAACCTGTGGGTTCTTGGCACCACAGCAAAGCTCCCCTGTAAGGAAACCAGTGGGGAGGCAGCTCCTGACTCAAGGACTGCAGTCTGAGAGCTGTCACATGGGTACACTTAAAAAATGAAGTTGTTATCCAATTGCCCACTACAAGACTGAGCACCTTCTCATGCCTGTCTTTACCATCTTATTTCCAGGACTACATAATAGCCAGCCCCTCATCACCACTGTAGTGCTTTTCTTGTCAACCCTCAGAGCACATTGAGGCCTGAGGGATGCCAGTTTGATTTCTGGTCCCTTCCCTTTGTTAGCACAGATATTTGCTCTGCCTTCTGCAGGGCTGGAGGTAATCTCCACCCGAGCCCTGGCAGGGAGGGATAATTAGGGCTCCTGCTGGGACATTATTCTGTCTCTGCAACTGTTCAGCGATAGAAAAGGGTGCTGAAAGTGGTGTCACTCTGCCTGCTGAGGGACACCAAGGCACAAAGAATCTTTGCTGTCTCCAGTACTTTTAAAAAAAAAATTATTAAAATAAACCAATAATTCCCACTTACCAGTCTGAGGCATGTCAAACCTGGCCTCAAAAATATCAGCCACTTTTTAGCCACTTCCCACTTTTAAATTATCATACTCCACTGCTTTCTGATGCTTTACCTCTCTTTTTTTCCTCTCTTTTTTCTGTTTTGTTTTATAAACTTTTACATTTCGTAGAACTCCACAGAATTTTTTATGAAGCTTGGTGCTATGTTAATAGATAATTACCCTTGGGTTTTTGTTTCTATTTGCTTCATTTCTTTTTTCCTCTAGTTTAGAGCTTTTAGCATAACATTTATATTTTGAGAGAGATGTTATGAGATCATCAAAGCTGTGGTCCGAAAAAGATAAATAAGAAAATGAGTGTTTAAGGAATGAAATAAAAGTTGCTAAAGTAGTATTATACCCAAAAGGTAAAACACTATACTTTTTTAGCAGAAAGTCCATGTTTTGCAATAATATTACTTCAAACGGGAATCACTTTCCTCAGCTAAATGTGAAATTAAATGATAGTTCAATCAAAGCACCAGGGAAAGACCATCAGGGGATGGACAGAGGAGATGGGAGATACAAGACAAAGAAGTTGGATAAAACAAGGGGTAATGTGGGTAAGAATTGTTTTGGAAATTCAACAGTTTTTAATCCAAAAAAAAGGGGGAAAACTCAAAGCAAGAGTAATTACCAAAAATCCATATTCTCTCTCTGTCCCCTCTGTCGCTGGCAGGAGAAGGAGCATGGAGGAGCTCAGGTGAGGCATTGCTCAGGGCGTGGGTGGTGGGACATCTCCAGCCCTGCTGGTACAGAAAGCTGTGACAAAGGTGCTGGAGCTGCCAGTCCTGGGGCCAGGCTCCCCTGAGGACACCACAGCTCTGGGAGGTGTCACCTGTGCTCAACACCAGCTTTGGGTGCCAGCTGCCATCTCACAGCTGGCTGGGGAGATGACTGTCACCTTCACAGCTGGCTCCATCAAACAAGATAAAAAGTGCCCAGGTATCAGCAGGGAGAAAAATGAAAGGGATTTGTGCAGGAGCTGAGGAATATGGCTCACAGAGCAGCACAGGCTGGGTTGAGAGGCTCAGTGGAGTCTGGAAGGGGCAGTGTGGGAGGATGTGTGTGAAGACAATCATTGTAACCCGGGTGAAATACAACTGGAACAGAGGAAAGTGAAAGGTTAGTACAGGGGGAAGTGATGGTGATGTAGGGGGGAAAAATTAAGGAGAATCAAGATTTTACTTGCATTTGCCTATCCATCCATGGATTCATACACATTCCCACATACAAATATGTATGTGTGTGTACAAACACAGGCCTGCACCTTTTTGTCAGAGATGGAATCTGTCCTTCTTAACACGGATATCATACTTGCAAATAACAAATCATCAGAGGACTTCTTGGGCACACCACTTCATTATTATTCATCTTTCTCCTTTGAAGTCAGCATATAATCTAAGATTTTTAGACCTGGCCAAATCTTTCTCCATTTTTCAGTGCTGGGGATGTAGATATCTGGTATCCTGATAAGAGGATACAGAAGAAGTGTGCTATGAGAGGATTCTGGGGTCTCCTCCAGGACCTATCCCTGTTTCTCTTGACCACACATTATTGTGTGTAAGCCCTGGCTCTTGGTTTTCCACAGGGGAGGGCAGCTCTGAGAGGTTCTGGGCTGGATACCAGTAAGCACAGTGCAAAAGCTCCTTCTGCCAAAAGGGAAAAGCAGCCATCAAAAACCCTGGGCAGGCTGTTGTCTGATGGAGAGATGCTGCTGGAAATGGGCTGTCTGGGACCTGCCCTGGAGAGGAGAGGATGGAAAGGAGCCTCCTGGAGCCTTTCCCTGGGCTTTGAACCTCATTTTAAGCAGGGATGTGGCACTGAAGGCTGGACCCAGCCTTACCATCCTAGCTGCTTGCCCATTCCTAAGGGAGACAGATGGTAGCCTGGCCTAGGATAATAACCTGTTTCTATGTAGGAAAATATATAAAAGAGGCCAACAATGAGAAGACGAAATACAGTTTTGAAAGTCACCTTGAAGGTTGCCTCCCATTTAGAAGTTTTTCTTTATAGTATTTTCTTTGGAAGACATTTTCCAGCTTTCAGAAACTTTGTACAGTTTTTCACTTCTAACCAGCTTAATTCTTTGTACATTCACAAGTTCTTTTTCCTTATTTATATGATTATTTATTTTTTATTTCTAACTTTGAATGTTGAACAGCAAATTGAATGATTTCTTATAACTCAAAAAACAGAGGATCAATTTGCAAATTCAGTTTGTGCTTTACAGAGAATTAAATAAACTAATAAGCTTTTTCCTGTGTTGTAAATATTCCCAGCCATCCCTGTTCATGATTGGCAATGTAGCACATTATACTTCTAACAGAAAGAAAATATCAGAGAGAAAATTGCAGCCTCAAGAACACAGACTAAGAGAGTATTTGCCCACTTGCTATCTCAGTGAATATTTCACATTTTATTTCTACAAGGGCAATCTCAACCTTACAAGTGTCAACTCTACAGAATTAGGTTTTGACTGCTGCAGTAGTAGATGGGTAATGCTACAGGACATCATTCAAAGCTGCCCCTTTCCCACAAATTATAGCAAATGAAAACAGCGTAAACAGTTCTAGAATTTTTATTTATTTACTTTGTAATTAATAAGAGCTTGTAATGTGTAATGTGTTTCTTTTTTCCCCTATCCTCTGTTAGTAGATAAAGCACACAGAAATTGTAACCAGATCTAGAGCAAATGCTCAGGGAATCTGATTTTAAACAGGAATGGGAGAGTTGTTTCTAAATTTGCTTCACCTTAAAATTTAAGAGCAAAAGCTATTTATTACACACCTTTGTGTTGTAATTTGGTGTGTTATTAGTTAAGGACAGTCCCTGAAAGTTCAGTCATTTCAAGGAGTTCACTGAAAGAGCATGGCAGATGAGAAGTGAAGTTGTTCTGCTCACCTGGATGGAAGCAGTCTTGTTTATTTCTACTCTTTCGTGGAAAATACTTCCTAAATTTTTTTGAGAGGGCTTAGAATGGCACAACAAAATGCTGGAATGGAAATATGCTTCTTACCACATGTCAGATATGAAATACTCTGCTTGTTACTAGAGAACTCTCATTCTTCCTAACTCCTTAGTATGGCTGCTAAGTGTCCTCTTCCCAATTGCTTAAAATCATAATGAATTTCATACAGGGTCGTTCTTGAGGCCTCGTTATGAAACAGCAATTTGGAAAGAGCTGAGTTCAGTTTTACAGTGGGAAAATCAAGGCTGCTCTCAGTCTTTGGCTCATGCCAAGCTCAGCAAACAGGATGGGCTCTGCTGGTGTGGTGGGAGATCACGAGAAAAGCAGCAGTGTCAGGACAGGGGTGCTGTGATATGTCTTAGCCTGCAAGCTCCAAGTCTATGAGTTCACAGGTATGAAAGTATGGCCAGAGGATGGTGTGATGTCCTCCCTCAGTAAATGTGGACCAAATGCCACCAACATTCACTTCTGCTCCTGGCAGAGTGACCTGATCCTGTGGGGACCAGTACCTGCATCACCAGCTCCTCCCCCAGTAAAAGAAGTGCAAACTTGTGCTGTTAGAGAGCTGTCTCCAGTCACTGAAGAGCTCTTTGTGCTGCATGTGCTGGTTCCTCTCTGCAGCTAGCTGTGGTAAGCCCCCCCACAAGATGGAAAGACGAACCAGAGCACATGAATCTGTTTGGAAGTGTCTGTTATACATCTCAGGCCCTTGATCCTCTGACTGGAAATAAAAGGCCAAAAGGAATTTGCAGAAAGGGAGCATTTTCTGTCCCAGAAGTCTTTTTCATGCTTCAAAATTGCTTTCTGTTTGAGAACAGAAAGGCTGTTTTAAGCAGAACAAGCCAAGAGGGTGAGGTGCAAGTCACAACACTAGGTGTCTTTGCTCAAACTTACAGTAAAATATAAATTGAAATGTTGACTGTTTCAGATGGCTCCTTTACAGATGGATTTTCTCCCTGTCAAAAAAGGGACAGTCCTCCAGATTTACAGCTAAGTCTGGAGCACAGGTCCCAAGGCATAAATAGTAGGCTTGCATCCTTCAAAACAGCTCAGCTGATTGCTGCTGTGAACAAACATGAAATTGAAATGTAGTTAATTAAGCCTCTAATTTTTTTAAATTATCCCCTTACCATATACATTCTTTCTTCAATTTTCCATTATCTCACTATATTACCTCTAACATTTAATCTCCTTATTATGAAGAAAGCAGAAAACAGACCAGAAAACAACCTCCCCCTGCTCCTCCCCTTCACAATCTCCTAATAAACAAAACAGGGAGAGTTATCTCTGACAATTAGAGCCTGTAATGTGATGGATGGTTAAAATATGTATATGACATCACTCTTTTAGCCTTTATTGATTAGGTTTTCTAGTTGATGCATTGGAAAATGAGCTGCTCAGCTTGGAGAATGAAACAAGAAGTCAAATTTATCGATAAAAGACAAAATGCTGCCATTTTAAACTCTCCCCTTTGTTACCTGGTTTAAGTGAGGACATTAGTTGTTAGGATCTGCAGATGACTCTCATGTTAATGAGGCTATTTTAAAGCATGAATTGTGTATACATTGTCACTGATATCACATATTTTCCATATTCTGATAGATTTTCCTTTGTCTTACTCATTGCTTTGCAGCTCCTTTCTCTTCTCTTTAAAACAAATTTTCCAAAGCAATTGCATTGCTTTCACATGGCTTTATAAAACTTTTGAGTAATGTTTTGCTAATGACACCAGAATGTTCCTGTTTGGACATTTATTAGCGTTACTTCTCAGTTATTATGAACTAACCACTAATTATCATATTCTTTATTTCTTTTACCTCACTTCTTCCTTATAAAATCATATAGTGAAATCTTGGGCTCACTGAACTCAGAATTTCATCTGAGGGGATTTGGATCTTGCTGAAGTCAGGCAAGATTTTCCATTCATATGGTTGAAGCCACTGTCGATATAGATGAGCTTAAGCTAAGCAGATTCATTTGCTATTCATAGAATCACAGAATATCCTGAGTGGGAAGGGAATCACAAGGATCATCAAAGTCCAACTCCTATTCAAATCTAGGGTTTCTTCCAGTGTATATGAGAAATCAAACTATGAGAAGAAATGCCTGGCAAGAAGTCTGCTTGTTTAGGATGGCCATGTTCACTGTGTAGGGTACAGAACATGTTTATTTTGAATTTACATTCCCAGAAATTACCTGCTTATGGCATAATCCTAATTTTTCAAGTAGTTGTTCAACAAAGCCTCTAAAGCCACTTGTTTCAAAATGCCCTCTAATTTCAAAAGGGAGTTTCTTCTCATGTGTTTGAAAGACACCCAAGAGAGTTTTTACAGCTGCTGTCAGTGCTGCAGCCTCTGCTGGGTGAATTTTGTTTCATCAGCATGGCTGGCCTCACAAGCACAGTGGTCACTTAAAAATTAAACAGATCACATGATAGGAACACTAAGAATTGCTCTTGTTGGGCATTCATTGACTGTACACATTTAAAGTCATTAAACAATAGATTTAAATGTTCTAGAAGGTGTCGGTAGCATGTACTGAAATGGAGAAGTACTTAAATTTTTATGTGTCTTAATTCCTTAATGTTTTTACTTCCTTCTACTGAGTTCAATTTTTATCTTTACTTGATTCATAAAGGTAAAAGTCAATTTGCTGACAGATGATTTATTTTGTTCTTGCTACAGGTGGTTTACAAGCCCAACTACTGTGAATGCTTTCTATAGTGCATCTACCAACCAGATCAGTGAGTATCTGCCTTCTGAGCCTCCTTATAAAGTGCCTGTTTGGGAATGTGTGTATCAGGCTTCAGATAACAGCTGTACCTATTGTGTCTGTGTCTATACTGTGTCTGTTTGTGACTGAAAATGAAAAGTTCAGATCTGGTCATTCAGCTGTGAGACCTAAGTGAGAGGATCATTCTGGAAAACCCAGAACTCTCACAGATTGGAACTACTGTTGCTCCATGAGTTACCCTGTACCAGATAGGGTGCAGTGACCGTGTGTGTCTGTGTGTGTTTGTTTGTACTCTGTCCATTGTGACTGATAGCTTAAATCACTTTTATTAAAGCCTAATGTTTATCCTCTGTTTTCTGTAGCAAAAAACATGTGTACACGCATCTCCATAAATACACAGTGATAGCAGTTCTGTCCTCTAGTATTGACAGATATCTAACAATAAATGTGACTAGAGAAGACTGAGCTATAGACCAGAAAACATAAGAAGGTGTAGCCGGTGGATTTGTGTAATACCTTCAAGGAGTGATATCTGTAGTTAACAGAAAATACCTGAATGTGCAGTACTACTTGTCTTATTCTAATTTTTGTCACTAGTTGTTTTTAGATAGCATATATTCTAGTGTGGAAACAAGGTAAAAGAGCTGAGTTTTTCAAAGATGTGTTATGAGTTTGGGTGTTCATTCCTGTTTGCTTCAATGGGGTTTTGAATTGAAATTTTACAACAGGCTTTAAAATTCTATACCAGACTTTCTGTGTACAACAGTGTTACCTTTACCCTGGCAATTCTCTTTGCTCTTATTAGCTTTGCACGTTAAATCAGCCTTCTTTTTCTGTGCCATTGGGGTCTGGAAGGTGGCTGCCACCACTTCTGTGGTCCCTAGAGACAGGACCTCAAAAATTACTGAGTGATTCCCCCGTTTTCTCCTGAATCTCTTTTGGTTGCAGAGAGAAAGTTACAAATTTAATGTATCACACTGAAGAAAGTGTAACAGAAGACTGGCAATTTGAGTCTGCTGGTATTTGCTTCTCCCAATTTCTGTAAACAGTTTTACCTTCAAAGCACACACATTCTTTTGTGTCTAAGTGATCTCATTTGTAAAGCATGTATAATAATTAGGAAGTTCTTTTGGTTAAAATTAGTGCTAGATTTAGATAGCTCTGCCTTAATTAGAGGCCTGCCATCATTTAGCAGTCACATTTTTTTTGATCATCTGAGGGAGCACTTGGCTGAGGTGGTCACAGCTCTGAGGTGCCCATGAAGCTGCTCCTCCTCCAGCCCCCACTGCTGGTGAGTGTATCATGGGGACATTCACTTGTGTGAGTGGAGAGGAAGCCTGCACAGAGAAAAATGAGAGCCATCACTGTTATACCTTCTTTAATATTGAGTTCTTTCAAATTTGAGCAATGCTCAGCTGCCCCAACCTCTCTGCCATTAGAGAAAACTGTGATGAGAGGCTGGAGGCACTGAAAATTCCATACTCACTGTGTCTCAAAGAGTCATGAGGCAGAGAGTTGTCAAACATAACCCATCAGTCATGGGTGTAATTGTGTTTTCTGTCATAACTGCTGATCTTCTCATTCTACTGGCAAGTGACCCGGAAGTTTGGACAGTGACACTCACTCTCAGTCCTTTTAGGAATGTTTCAAAGAGGAAAAGGGTTTGAGTGGCTCTTTCTGAAAAAAATGCTCTTGTACCTGAGAGCGAGGTACAAATGTAATCATGCCCTAACAATGATGTGCAACAGGAGGGAAGATTCAGAGAGAGGCTTCCACTGTCTTCCACTGCTGGCTGGTGTGATTTTTTGGGGCAAGAGGCCCTGTGAGATGTGGGAGGAACATTCTCTGGTAGAAGCTGCTGATAAGCATTTGACACATCACTGCTGATTTCTCATCAATGCTGGTGGGGAAGAACTTCTACCTTACTACTTTGCAGCTGTGTTTTCAGTAGTAATCCGTACAAAGTTCTGGGGGCTGCTCACATGCCACAAGAACTGTGGCATTTTTAAAGGCCTAGTTAAACAGCAGGAAAAAAGTTCTAGGAACCAGAATAATTTGAGAATAAGAATTAAGTTTGAACTCTAGCAAATTAAATGTAAAATTGTGATACAGCAAGCCCATAAAGACTTCGAGAATCAAATTTCTAGGAGCATAAGAATTAATAATGAAACCTTTTTGTCAAATTCACTGAGAGAGGAGAGTCTCTAAGGCATAAAAATAAGATAATTCCTTGCATTGGAGGAGTTTGGGAAGTTCTAATCCTGGAGCTTTTTCTTGTGAGAGATTAGTCCCAAGGGACTTTAGAAGGAATTAATACAATGAGCTGTGACAAGTATAAGACCAGATAATATTCTCCCAGGTATTTCAAAGGAACTTAGACAAAAAATTTGCAAACAACCAGCTTTGATGTATAGGCTATGACTTATAGTGGCCTCAGCACAGGAAGAATAGGTCTGGCAAGTGTCAAATCCTGTTTTTCAAAAGACATGTCAGAGGGATCTGCATAACAAGTCACTTTAGCCTTTATATGTAGGAATCTGGTTGTGACCACAACATGATTGAATAGAGAGAATGAATAAGCATATGATATAACAGTGAAGAGTGAAAATGAGAATGTGAGATGTTTTTTGCTGTTTCTTTATGCATTCTTAATCTACTGGAGGTTATTTTAAATTCAGAAAGTGAGTAAATATGCTTGATATGATGATATATTTTTTCCATAGAACACTTTTGATGAGGTTCTTTTCCAACACTAATAACTGAAAGTTGTCATGGGACAAGAAAAAAGGCCCTTTCATAAATTAATGACTGATCAGAGATAAGAAAGGGAGTTTGGAACCAATTCCTTGTTGGCAAATAGTTGGAGGGGTGTGTTGTGGGGATCCGTGCTACTCACTGCATTGGCAGACGAACTAAAAAAAGGATGCTCTGTTCTGTACAAAAGAACAGAGGATATAAACCCAGTCCAGGAGGACAGTTCCCAGTTCCCTCTGCTGCTGGCTGCTGGAAGGTAGGAATATGTGCTAGCAGAAGAATCACCTCACGGGTAGTTGCCTGACACTTTTTCCCTTCATATCTACTACTGATCACTTCCGTAAATGAGTGAATGGACCAGATATCCTCTTTACCTGCTTGAGTGCCTCTGCTCTTCAGTGAACAAACTGGACTTTAGTGTCCTCAAGGCCCATCTATTTTTGCTCTTTGTGAGTTTACTCAGAAGAGCTTGAGAAATCAGAATTTTAAAATGCATAATAGAATTTGATTATGGAAAGTAGGTTCTACATGAACTGGAAAATCCCTGGTTCCAAAATTTGATTCTAAAAATTAGGACCATTAGTTTGGAAATGGAAATGTATTGTGTGATGATATCAGAAAAATCACAGCAGCTCCAAACTTGATTCATCACTGGAGACTTCTTGAAAAAGTTTAGAGGAAAAGAAACATCAGTGCCTTGACCCATGGATTCTGAAAAGGAGTGATCGTCAGGTACCTGCACAGGGAAGGGGAATGTGGATGTCCTGGTCATCCTATGGATGTTCTGAGCTTTAGGCAGCTGCTTTTGCTTCCTGTGTTCAGAGCACAGGGAGGTCTCTGACACTCCTGATGGCAGGATCACAAATTCTTCTCTCTCAGTAATCTCTCTCAGTATCACTGACATAAATATTGGAATTTCCATGCAAGTCCACGTGATCTTCAAATACAGGTAGCTGTTAGTGTTTTTAACTTGACTATTCAGTTACTTGGAAGAAAATGTATTATTTCACTAAAAGAGAAAATTAATAGAGAATAGATGATGTAACAAATTATTAGATTTGGAGAACATAGCAAATCTTGCATATTCAGTAGATGTACCAAATTTTGTTATTTTTTAGTGCAAACACTTTTGTGTTTGCTGTTGCTTTGCTGCATTTTCTTTACTATATATTGATAGTTTAAATGACCAATGATTCTGTTAATATCTCCAAAGGAGAAATAAGTAGCTGGATCAAAGTGAGATGTGCTGCAAAGAGCAGAGTTAAAAAAATGTTCCATGTAATTTGTCTTAATATTATACAAGTCTACAGCTGATCTCTTTATGTGAGTTCTATTTATTTATTTCCTCTTTTTCAATAATTCTAAGTGTCTCACTATGCAAGTTTATAATGGTTGTTAATAATTTTTAATCCTAGTTGGCATAAGTTTTCAAGTTTCTGTGCATTTGCTTGTCAATTTCCCCTTTAATTATAGGTGCTTAAGAAGGACAACAGGTATGTGTCATTGCCTTTAGAGTCTCAAAATATATCTAAGTACACTTCATATCATCTAAGCAGCATGAATACTGTCTTTTTAATTATCATAATTGGAACACCAAAAACACATTCCTAAAGGATTAGTTTATTTTAATGCACTCTAGAGCAGTCAACAAATATATGCTGAAAATAGACAAGTGATGATCAAAGTGTGCTAGCATGCTTCTGCTCAAGAAAAGATTTTATTTCATTACAGCACTAAAATATTGGCCTTTGAATATGTTAAGGATAAAAGGGAGCTGTTCATCAGACATTTGGTGTTTAGGTTTTTTTTCAAAGTATAAATATGTGTGCCTCTAGAATATATAAATATAGTCACATTTGTGGGCTGTGAACAGTAATGAAAGGGAGATTTACAGTGAACTGAGGCAAATATAAGCAATGCACTTATGAGGTGTAAGCTTGAATAGATGTACTGGATAATTAATGTTGATATTATCTCTGTAAGTTTATACTCATGCTCCTTCTAAGTCATTTGTGCTGTTACTGCAGTTCTCTAGTGAAAGTCAAGAGGCCTCTTTAGAGAGCAGCCTCAATGCATGTTACAGGAAGCAGATATAATCTACAACAGAATTTTAAAATTGCATTCAAATTAGCATCCATAGAGAAAACGCAGATGAGAGCTCATATTAGCCAGTAAGTACCATCTTTACAGGAAGCATCATGCAGGTATTGACACTGGCAGCTCACTGATGCTGTGAGTTGCAAGGGAGAATTCTTA